GGTACTGAGGTAGTCATGACAATCGCAGTTTGCTAAAAACGTCGGTGAATAGTATTCTATGTCATAAACAGCCAATGATCAGCTATAATAGTACGGTTTATTTTACACGGTGACTCGTTCTACTTGAAACTGTCTCAATGGTAACAGAGTTTAAAATGTTCTTACTCTTAGTCTTAGTCTTACAGGAGATCTACACGGTGAATGTAAGTGGGTCTGGGAATCTATGGCGTAAGACTCTACGGTGGAAAACTTTACGGTGGCGCCGTACAAAAACAACAGGTGTAAAAAACAGGACTATTAGGTGGCAAAGTCTATAATCAGGCATGAGATAGTAAGATAAAGAACTTAAGAAATAATGCGAGCAAACAAATGTTATATTTTTTTATCGATATTGATAAATTGGCAGGTGTCCCTCATTAAATTTATGAGTTACAGGAGTTGCAAGAGTGGCAAATTCGAATTCGAAACAATAAATTTGGATTAAACAGTTGTTTGCCTAAAATTTGTGACAAAGAACAGGCAAGGGGATATACAAGGATTTCTAAAGTTATGATATTACACGATATAAATTGTGTCAGTGGTCACATAAGCCTGTCCTATCCCAGGTAAATATCAATATATAATCAGGTACTAGATAGTAAGAAATAATGCGAGCTCTCAGCATATATCTCAGAGTCAGTATCACTATCGAAATATATTGTGGATTGAACGACTGAAAGATTAGGTTTATTAAATTCCGAGACAAAATATTTAACGGCAGCTTCCTGAGAACAGAACACGGGGATTTGAAACTTAAAACACACGAGATAGCCGGAACCAGTACAAATAAGTGAAGCTATATTTTAACTAATTATTCTTAGAAGACTGTTTATGGTTTAGTTGACTCTGAGATCAAACCTTCACTACAAGAGGCTTCGTCATAAAAGTAAAAGTTGAAAGTATACGTGATCCGGATGCAATAACAGATATATTAAACGTTCAAATCATTTTACACCTACGCTAAAAACTTGTCCACCAACACTGTACAAACTACAAAAACATTTGATTGGCAGACGGATAGATAAAGAACGAATTATGAACTATAGACCACAGAATGATCGTTGAATATCATAAAAGAACGGCACAAGTGCACAACACACAAAGGCGATATGAACTGATATGGAAGTTAGACCTAGGCAAAATTGAAAGAATCGCACTAACTGGGCCGCGCTCAGCCTGTCATTCCGCCTAATCTCTATTAATGAACATAATAGCCTGGGGTCCTCAGGTAAAAGCAAGCACTGATAACAGAAACAAAGAATCATATTTCACTTGTGTTGTTCCGTTGACCAAAACAAGTGCTAACAGACTAGATGGTTGATGAAATAAGCCTCTTGACTCCCATTGTGTGAAATTACTAACACTAGCAGTAACCGGTGTTTCTTTAAGGTGGGGTCAAGAGAGACAGACAATAACACACGGAATTAAAGAGGAATTAAAGAGGAATTAAAGAGGAATTAAAGAGGAATTAAAGAGGAATTAAAGAGGAATTAAACATGAAATTACCAAGGAGAACACTAACGAACTCGTCTTGGCTATACATCAATTAGAAAATGTTATTTATTAAATTTGAGATTTTTACACAACTTGGCCCATTTAGATGAGCTATACAATACTCTGTAAAAGATAACATAATATAGAATATAATTGTCTGGGAGGATGACTGTAAAATTTGGGGAAAAAAGTATCCTGTGGTTAAACAAAGCACAGATACTAACAGAAACAAATCAAACGTTTGGTTCGATCCACACTACTGATATGTAAGATCAGACACAGCAAATTATGACGCTCTCAAAGCATTTCACAATAAAGGATAATTTATATAGATAAATTATTAACAGGAAAATTGTTTTAATTTTGGTTCATCGAATGTTTTATATCAGATGTTGATTTCTTAAAGATAGGTGTATATTTTTGCTATTATTTCTATGAAAGGGGAGGTACGGATAAAGTACCAAACCTTATTGTGTATATTTGGTTGCAACTCCGGTAAATGATGAAACATGTCTCTTATGAGAGTGATACCGTGAGTTGCTTCCTTTTTTTTAAAATTAATTTATATAGATTAACTCCCGATTTCAATTCAGGGAGACTAATCTATTCTTGCAAAAATGTTAAAACAAACTAAATATTTTACAACATCTAGGATTAAGGACAAAGTGACTAATATAGAGTACGAGAACACATGATTTCCATCACAATGCGATCTATTAAATAAGTAATAACTAGGATTAAATATCTTAATCCATCATCAAAGATTGTACAGTATGAATATCAGACCATTAAAGCGTTTTTCTACGATCCAATTCAGAATTTTGACACTAACTGTAAAGGAAAAAGGTGCAGGGCAGAACTAATCTATAGATCACATCTAAGAGATTTCTTTCGATCACAGGCCTTCTTTGAAAACGTCAAAAAGGTAGCCGGGCCCGAACAGGCAGTCCGAAAGAAATAAAAACTACAAACAGACAGTATAATGGTCAACATCAATCTGACATATTTTGTTCCTTCTGAACCCTGAACCTCTTGATTTGGATTTAAGTAACACGATCTTAGTTCGGAAATTTAATTCAAATGCATAGCATGAGTATATAAAAGAAAATCTTCAGATAACTGCAAACTGATTGACAAACTAAACCATCCCTCATCAGAGTGGTAGTCATGACAGGACCATGTTACTTTGATATTAAGTAAAGCTAACATCTTTCGCTAGGGTCTTTAAACGAAGTAAATGTCGGGCAGCTAAATATAAACAAGTGTAGACAACTGGACGATTTTTTAAAAATGTCGTACGAGCAATCGAAAAGGTCATCAAAATATATCTTAACTACAGGAACAACATAAACATGAAGGAGCAGAGGCACATATTAGGTGCGGTGAAAAAATCGAAATTATGCGGTACCGCACCCGACTATAAAGGTAAAATGTGCGGTAAGGTGCGGTAAATTTGTACGAATTATGCGGCAAATGTGCGGCGATTTTTTCGAAATTTGTGCGGGAACTGTGCGGTTTTTTTTTGCATTTTCTCAAGGACTTTGGAAATTCTAAACGTATAACCGCCGCTCTTATCAAAAATAGGTCTGTTTATGTGTTACTGAGGGTGTAGTTCTTTGTACTAAGACCATGATTGAACCTATATTGAGATTCAGTTATCTGAGAATCGAACAGTGACTTGATCTGGTAGAGATCAGGAATCAGGATACAGTTATTTGAAGACGCCTCTTGATAGAGTCGATCAGATCCCATTCGTGATCACAAATATGTGACACGCTTGTTGGCATTGATCGTCAGTACTTGTGAACCATTCGATCCAAGATCCATTAAGCCCACTATAAAACCAACGCTGCAACGAATAAAGCTCATTACCCTTTACACCTACTTCTTCTATTATCACCTACAAATGATAACTGATACACTATAATCGAAGTACGGTAACGACGAGGGTTCCATAATGGCTAGGGTCACGGTCCCGAAAGGGCTTGGATCACGGTCCCGAAAGGGCCTGGGTAACGGTCCCGAAAGGGCCTGGGTCACGGTCCCGAAAAGGCCTGAGTCACGTGTCCTAAGCATGAGTTCCAAAAGGGCCTGGGTCACGGTCCCGAAAGGGCCTGGGTCAGGGTCCCGAAAGGGCCTGGGTCAGGGTCCCGAAAGGGCCTGGGTCAGGGTCCCGAAAGGGCCTGGGTCAGGGTCCCGAAAGGGCCTGGGTCACGGTCCCGAAAGGGCCTGGGTCAGGGTCCCGAAAGGGCCTGGGTCACGGTCCCGAAAGGTCCTCGGTCACGTGGTAACCGGGTCACGTGACCTAAGCATGAGTTCCAAAAGGGCCTGGGTCACGGTCCCGAAAGGGCCTGGGTCAGGGTCCCGAAAGGGCCTGGGTCAGGGTCCTAAAAGGGCCCGACTTTTAACATATTTTGGTTTTTACACTCGAAAATCTTAACGCGAAAATTTCAAAATTATGCGAAATTACGCGGAAGATGCTAGATTATGCGGAAATATGCAGATAATTACAAAATGTGCGGAAATGTGCGGAAAACAATAAATTATGCGGAAGTGTGCGGAAAACGGTAAATTGTGCGATCCCGCACCCATCGCACCTAATATGTGCCCATGTGAAGGAGGTACCGAAGTTACTGTGCAGTGTGATAACAGTAACACGAGGTGCAGTGAGCAGCACATCACTGATGACACTCATATCGCTCGATTTTACAATCCAATAATCAAATTTTACAATCTAACTCAGCGCGCGGCTCCTCTAGCTAATACGTTACTTTTCTCCAATTGGCAGTTTGCGTGCACGTGTCTTTTCTGAGGCCCCAATTGGTTCTAAATGATCACGTGAATGCTGGTCACGCGCACATCAACTTCCAATGAGCGTACTGCCATTTTTTCTGAGGCGATGGAGGTCGTAAATCACTCAGCCCGAATAAAGATTTGGCGGAATGACAGGCTGAGCGCGGCCCAGTAAAATAATTATAAACATTTATTTACGCTGCTGCCCGGAATGACAGGCTATGCACCGCACGAAGCGTGAACCATTGACCACGTTGCATGTATCGTGTACTCCGACAGCGCGCAGACAGGCGAACTCTTTGCGCATGATATGAAGAAAGAAATGAAATTTATTTATCAAGTCAGACTGAGTGGAGTTGGGTTAAAAACATATAAGAGATACGATGCTTATAAATTTCTAACCTACCAATCCGCGCGCCGAGTTGGAATCGTCGACGGTCTAATATTTGAAACAAATATTTTACGATCATCATCCGTTAAGTTTGTAGTGCGATGCAGTACTGGGCCGCGCCGTGCATCTTCCCGCAACCACTTAATTCTGTAGATCGGCAAGATGCAAAAGATTGACATCATGAATCAAGAAGATTCTAAAATTCATAACACGTTTCTTCAAGAAATTAGCAGAGCCGATGCCTTCTCTCATCGTGCCCTAAACATTCCATCTGCTTTCTTGATCAATAAATGCCTAGCAGCACCAAACAGCAGCCGTGTACCTCTTTCGACTCCGTGGAGTCCCTGATGGACTTTTGTTTACTTTTGTTAATAATCGGACCAACCTTTCTTTCTCGAAACATGTATCCTATTGTATTTCATTATAGTATTAAGATGTGAAGATATACTAGATATTACAACGAAATAGAGGTATACCAAATTGGCCCTTGATATGAACTATAACCGTGTTGATGGTTTTAAATTTTATATGTTGTAAGCACTTTAGTTTGTGAAGCGTTTACTCCTCCCCCTCAGCAAGACAGCTAGATTATAGATTAATGATAATAATTGTCAAATGTCTTTATATATTATATAACAGTTATAAATGTTCAATAGTTGTAGAGCGACTTCAAGAGTAGTGGTCCACAGGGGTCCGAAAAAGCCGTACAGGCACTTGGGTCCTTATCCTTGTCACTAATCTCAATTGGATTCGGTTTACACAAAGCATGAACATTTAGACGTACACATTGACACGATATTTATTAGAAAGCAAAAAGTATAAAATAATACGTGCGTGCGCGGCTTGAGCCGCGCCGCATAAGAACGGATGCGTGCAGGGGCTGGAGTACGCTTTATGTAAATTAATGAAATGTTGCATTGTAAATATTTAGAATTGACGATATATTTTGATCTAAAAGTAAATTTTACAAAGCTGGCTTTGGATTTAGGTAAGATTATAATTTATTTAAAAAAAAAACCACGGATAATTTTAAATGTATTTCTATTTGTCGTATAATCATAAACAATTTAATCATGTTTTTAAGAATGCGCGGCTTTGGCGGCCAGTTATTGACTTATACATTAAATTGAATTTTAAATAGAAATGTGAATATATTAAAATTTAAAACTTTCAAAACGGAGGCTTATAAATATTATTATATTATGATTGTAAAATAAAGGATAAAATTTTAAATTTGTTTCACTAAAAAAATTAGTTTCACTTAAAAAGAAAATCTTGCTTAATGGCTGTCAAGTCTTATACTAAAATAAATGGGGAGTCCCTCATAGGACGACCAGTGCTAGACACTGTTTACTACTGACTAGATGGAAACCTACTTTACTCTTTGGATTGGTAGAACCTGTCTGGTTACATGAACATTGGAGCTAGTTTTATATTAACTCATGTATGATATTATTGTCGACTTAGACTGCTTGGATGTATCACATCTCAACCATTGTTGGGTGTGTTACTTTGTTTTGGGCTTAACTTTTAAGCTTTATTGATTTTATCTATAAAATTGCATCTCCATTGATATTTATGTAACTCGAAAAACTTTTTCTACCAAAAACGTTCACGATCGGGAATAGTCTTTAAATTACTTTGGGGAATATTTTGACCTGATATAACGACGTCGTCGTAATGACACAAGTGACTGATCAACCACCTTAGTTGATAGTGTTTTTAAAAATAAAGTATTTATATTTTTAACTTGGGGTGTAAATATTTCAAGGGTTTTTATTTTTTAAATTTCAGATCTTTCATACTATTTGTTACTAAAATGCTCATTGTAGCCTATAATATTTAGATTTTCATCAATACTACCATTCTGAAACCATGAATACCTCTCGAAAAAGACGACCTGCTGCCATACAGCAGCAGCAGGTTGGAAAATTTGAATTCAACTACTTTAGCTGAAAGAAAAATCCGTGGGGATCTTATGGAAACCTTCAAAATAGTCAGTGGCTTACTAGAATACTTTAAAAAGGACTGTATTAAAAAAGGAATTTACTGTGATTATCATCACTGGCAAGTGTCTGATGAGGTGATAAGTAGAATTGAAGGAGATAACTATTTAGAGAATAAAAGTAGACACAATAATTATTTGTGGTTTCATCCCTATGTGGCAAAGAATAATACAAATTGTATTTTACTAATATTAACCTGAACTAGGTCGTTTGGGTATAATTTAAATAATTAAAATATTTTTATGAATATTTGTGATGATCTTATGTATCATTATGTTTTGATTTATTTTAATTTAATACCCTCAAGTATATTGCACAAAACAACTATAACAAATTCCAGCTAAAGTCCGCCCATTCAAAAGCATCAAATATATGTTGCTGGGGCGAAAGTGGGCGCCACCCCCTATTCTTTGAAGCCTGCAAACTTGCAACAGATGACTATTATAGTCGCCTTGAAAGCACCGAAAACATATTACTTTCTGCAGCATTTCACGATCAGATTATGCTGGGTCTTCCTTGGTACACGGCAGCTAGCTCACCATTCTTTGCGGGTATCCAGAAGATCATGGATAAAAACAGTGGTGAAACCTATCGTTTCTGTAACAACTTCGATGATTCTCCTGAACACCAGCTTCTGCTATGTCTAGAAGTCCAAGATACCAGTCATCTTCAACTTAAACAAGAACTAAATGGAACTGAACCATATTCCTATCTAGAAACGCCCTTGTCTCAGTGTCAACTTGCAGACTGCAGAGTGTCTCGGGTTTACTGCAGACTTTACAATATCCTTAAACAGCTTTGTTCCAAAGTTTCAGGTTGCTGAGCGTTGATGCAGTGTCACGAATAGCATTGACATGAAACTTTAATAGTTCTGGAGTTGATAAATCAAGTTATTCCATGTGGTGTCAAACGCCGTCTTATTTTCCCATGTGAGAAAGAGGTTTTGCCACTGTTCACCCAAAAGTGAACAAATGAGTGTCCTTATCAAAGTAGTCCAGTCATTTATGAACATTTTTGGTTTGGTACCTGCAAATTTCCAAAAACTCACCAAATTTTGCACAGACCTTCCCAAAGGTATGAATAAACGACTTCCGGGTGAAGACATTTTTTTACCGTGGGCAAACACGCCCATATTTACCCAATGACGCAACTTACCCTTTGCTTCTGAAGGTCGTAATGACAGATACTTAGGAAGCCTAGTGTCTAGTTAATTACTCATATCTCTTTTACAGACTTTTTTACAAGGACATTGACAGATGATACTCACATTAGGCATTCATTATTGCATCTAAATTATTTCACTTGCATTAGGTTTAGAAATTTATTCTCTGGTTAACAGATTTCAAATGTTTAATTAATTTGTAGTATGACAGTAAGGTATATAAGAAGTTATTTAATTTTGCTTGGGCTATTATATTGACTATTGAGGTTTAATGATGATATGGAATTTGAATTCTATATAAATTTACACTATGTGGTTGGGGCATTTTGCATAGTAAATATGGTTACTACTATATATCATATTATTTGATTGGTATTCGATTTCTGATTATTTCTCTAGGAATATGATTATTATATCTCAATTTGGCTTTAGGTAGGGTGCCCCGCTAAAAGAACTGGATTCTTCCAGGAAGCATCCCGTGCACAGACCTTGGTCTACATATATATTAAATTATTAACCATTCATTCTGTATGTGCACAAAAATTTATTTCAATCAAGTCTGGCATTAAGATGGGCTTAATCTCCTTATATAGGAGTTATAGATCAACATATGGCCTAAAAGCTTTACTTTTCAAGAAAGGAGGGTCATTTTTGGTCAATTTTCAGTGTTTTTATGATATAATAGAAACTGATTATATCTATATTACATTTTAAATTTGACAAAATCTCCTCGGATACGGATAATATATACCAAAAAGTGAGGAAAAATTGGCGATAGAATAATGGTGTGATTTCATCAAAGGTTAACTGCAAGAAATTGCACGTGCGTGAGCAATCACTGGTTGGCAATGCGTACTGCCATGCTTTGATGCTTTATGACACATCATGACTAGCTCACGTTTACACTCACGGTTATTACTATTCGTAACTTTGGTTGTGATTGATATTTTTTGATGCGGTAAAAAGTATTGTTTAGGGATCAATCCAAATACTTGCAACGTTGTCAAATAAAATATATATACTTTTTAAAGTACGGAAGCGGCAGAGCTAGATGATGAAGAGAAATTAAAACATAGCTGGGTTTTCAAATTTCCTCGAACAAAGCTTTTGACTAGCGGGGGGGGGGGGGGGGGGGGCAAAAGTCAGTACCCATTGCATACGTTGGGTCTTATACCACTGTTTCATATTTGTGGTCTAAGCTCTTATCAAATATATGATTAAATGAATGTAAAATAAAGCTTATTGTTTCATTGAAAACCCATTGTTTCATTGAGTTTAAAATTTTTGAAAACCTGGGTGCACCACAACAGCAACTATAAATTTGCGGGGTTTTGGAAGGAAATGTCAGGCTAGGTTGGATACTTTCAGGCAAGAATTTTTAAATTTAATTTGAGAATGAAGTATAAAGAAATTTTTAATTAGCATCTTGGAGCTGGAGAGCGTCCAGAGGCGGTTTACCCGTCTGATTGACGAGGTGGGTACTCTTCCATACAGTTGTCGACTGGAAATCCTCAATTTAACAACGCTGGCAGAGCGGCGAATACGTGGGGACCTCATTGAATCTTTTAAAATGATAAGTGGTTTGGCCAATTACGGAGCTGGTTTGTTCAGTATGAGCAGATCTGGTCTTAATGTGGTATCAAACAGTAGATGCAGTATAAGTAGCAGTAAAATGAAGAAAGTCCACAGTTTTTTTCTTCCGGAGAGGGTGAGACCATATTGGAACAAACTCCCCTCGGATGTCAAGAATTGTGGGACTGTGTTAAGTTTTAAAGTAAGATTAGAGGCTTTCAAAAAAGAGACTATTTTAAACGGCCACGGATCTGTAAATGATAGTCATTTTTGGTATGTTTCGGACGAAGTATTAGGAAAGATCGAGGGATTAAATTATGCTACTAATAAAGAGAAGCACAATGAATATCTTGTGTGTAATCCTCATGTTGCTAAAAACCGCTTTATCAACTTATATAGTAGTGGAAAGTATGTAAATTAGATTCATTTTAACTTGGTTGTTTAGGCCAATAGATTCAAGATAATTTTTAAACTTTAGTAGATATATTTTTGATGATGTGTGATGATGTTTGTGTCATTATATTTTGATTTGATTTTGATTTGATTTAATGTATAGTTTAAGATATGTATTATAGCTTATTATAACCATTGATACAAAGGCCATAATCTTTCGCCAGCTCTCCAATATCCACCTTGAAGCTGCATTTTATATCCTTGAACTACACAATATTATAAACTAAAGTATGTTTTAGTGTAGACTTTTTGTCACAACAAGACTGCAAGCTAGAGTGACAACTATAAACAGAACCCCTAATGTCTGCTCACAATTTTTTTCTAGTCCTAATATGAGCCTTGTCTCTAAAAACCTAACTGAACTTTAACTAGTGTTTCGGTGTGTGCAAAAGCTTTCAGGCACGCGCATTCCTTGCCCCGTTAGTTACCTGTCCTTCCAAAACCAAACTAGCAGTCAAGGACAAAAAGTCATACACCAAATGGGCACTATATTTTATGAATTGCTTTACATCTTTTTATTCTGTAAAATGTGCTAAAATTAAATTTCTTGTTTCATTGAAAAAAAATTTCTTGTTTCATTGAAGAACTGTCGTTTTTTATTAATTAACAAGTCAAATAATAAATGTTACAATATTTATTTATTTATAACCTACTACCCTTTGCAGCAAATGGCTAACAGAGATAAACAGTAGGTGCAATTGTCTCTGTATGTAATCCTGACGGGGCCCTGGCCAGATGGGTAACTGTTGTTCTGATGAAGGCAGAGCGGCAAGGGAAAGAAATGATCGAATAGACAAAATTCTTACCCGAGATAAAAAGAATGCCCGCCGGGAATTAAAGCTCCTCTTGCTAGGTTTGTCGTCTTCTGCAGTTAGTATGAACCTGCTACTAAGATATTGCCGACTATATTACCTATTTAAACTGTCCATAAATTAACTTGAAAAACTTTATCGATCACTATTTCGATATATTTTCAAGCATAGCCATAAGTTACCTTTCTCAACTTAGTATTCATGTTATTTTCTGGGATGACTAGTTTAAACACTGCTGAGTATAAGTTTTATCTTAAAAGCGGTGTTGCTAAATTTCAATTTATTATTATTCTTTAAACTCATATAATACTTAAATTTTTCATCTGTGATTGATGGCAAAATGCTAAGAATTTAATAGTGGATTCTCCATCACGAAACTGAAAAATAAGTGTGAAATGTAAAACACTTCTTTGCAGGTACCGGTGAGAGTGGTAAGAGTACATTCATCAAACAAATGAGAATCATTCATGGTGCCGGTTATACAGATGACGATCGGTTGGCGTTTAGGGTTATGGTCTTTCAAAATATACATAAAGTAATAAGAACTCTGTGCGAACAAATGGACAATCTTCAAATTGAGTACGAAGTTGAAATCAATGCTGTAAGTGTGAAATTAGCTTGTTTTGACTCTAATTTCAAAAATTAGAATTTAAGTAAAGTTTCAAGTTAAGTTTAAGTTGGCTTTTGATATTTAAACTACAGAGGAAACTACTAAGGAAGAGTAGGAGCTCATCGCACCAATTTGTATGATGTGTTAATTTTAAAGAAAAAATTAATTTCTAATAAAAGAGAAAATTAATTTCTAATAAAGTTTTAAAGTTGACTGATTTTGACAATCTGGTTTACATGGCCCATAACAGAGTAGTATGGATTGATTGATTGACTACTCGGCCACTTGATGTATTTCACGTGTTTGCTGCATTTAGTTTTATAATAATAAACTACATGATGTCAAAAAAACGACTTAGGATTTCTTAAAGAGCTTATTATATATGGACCTGCTGCGGAGCACATTTCGTCGTTTAAACTTACATTTGTAGAGCTGTGTTACGAAGCCCCCCCCCCCCCCGGCCCCCTCCTGTTACTTGGGAATATTATAATTATTTAGTTATCAGTATATTCAGGGCCTGGCCAGTAAATGTTTTTATTATTCATTTAAATTATTTTGAATATTCGTAATCTTTCGCTCTAATGAGTGGGTCGATCATATATTTTGATGATAGTTGGTGACGAGTGAGAGTCTCCACTCAGTGTTTCAAAACAAATAAGTTGTCGACGTTTCGGCAACATGCCTTTGTCATAGACAGGACGTTACAATACTTTACATAGCTGCAATTTACAATGTTAAAATAATCTATTAATAGCATGAAATATAACAAAAATGTTAATAAAGCTATAAAGAAGTTTGTACGTTTAACGTACACACTATACATGATATACTAGCTGAATGGGTAGTGACCCTGTGTGGTTGCTACTTGCTATGGTGACACTGTGTGGTTGCTATGGTGACAGTGTGGTTGCTATGCTTATGGTGACACTGTGTGGTTGCTATGGTGACACTGTGTGGTTGCTATGGTGACACTGTGTGGTTGCTACGGTGACACTGTGTGGTTTCTATGGTGACACTGTGTGGTTGCTATGGTGACACTGTGTGGTTGCTATGGTGATACTGCACTGTGTGTTTAGAGCACGTAGAGACACTTTCATCTGACAGGAAGACAAAACGAAGTCCAGTTGGAGACTAAGAGCTACTTTTGCTGCAAAAAAGCTGAGATACTCGACAGCTGAGAAAGAAGCTAAGAGCTGCAGTCCACTCGACAGCTAAAAAGATGCTAAGATAGTGGAACCCCAAAGGAACCTAGTTATCACGTGAACAATAAGATAGTGAAACCCCCAAGGAACCTAGTTATCACGTGAACAATAAGATAGTGGAACCCCAAGGAACCTAGTTATCACGTGAACAATAAAATAGTGGAACCCCCAAGGAACCTAGTTATCACGTGAACAATAAGATAGTGGAACCCCCAAGGAACCTAGTTATCACGTGAACAATAAGATAGTGGAACCCCCAAGGAACCTAGTTATCACGTGAACAATAAGATAGTGGAACCCCCAAGGAACCTAGTTATCACGTGAACAATAAGATAGTGGACCCCCAAGGAACCTAGTTATCACGTTAACAATAAGATAGTGGAACCCCCAAGGAACCTAGTTATCACGTGAACAATAAGATAGTGAAACCCCCAAGGAACCTAGTTATCACGTGAACAATAAGATAGTGGGACCCCCAAGGAACCTAGTTATCACGTGAACAATAAGATAGTGAAACCCCCAAGGAACCTAGTTATCACGTGAGCAATAAGATAGTGGAACCCCCAAGGAACCTAGTTATCACGTGAACAATAAGATAGTGGAACCCCCAAGGAACATAGTTATCACGTGAACAATAAGATAGTGGAACCCCCAAGGAACCTAGTTATCACGTGAACAATAAGATAGTGGAACCCCCAAGGAACCTAGTTATCACGTGAACAATAAGATAGTGGAACCCCCAAGGAACCTAGTTATCACGTTAACAATAAGATAGTGGAACCCCCAAGGAACCTAGTTATCACGTGAACAATAAGATAGTGAAACCCCCAAGGAACCTAGTTATCACGTGAACGATAAGATAGTGAAACCCCCAAGGAACCTAGTTATCACGTGAACGATAAGATAGTGAAACCCCCAAGGAACCTAGTTATCACGTGAACAATAAGATAGTGGAACCACCAAAGAAACCTAGTTATCACGTGAACAATAAGATAGTGGAACCCCCAAGGAACCTAGTTATCACGTTAACAATAAGATATTGGAACCCCCAAGGAACATAGTTACACGTGAACAATAAGATAGTGAAACCCCCAAGGAACCTAGTTATCACGTGAACAATAAGATAGTGGAACCCCCAAGGAACCTAGTTATCACGTGAACAATAAGATAGTGGAACCCCCAAGGAACCTAGTTATCACGTGAACAATAAGATAGTGGAAACCAAAGTAACTTTACTTTACGATTACTCTGTGAGTATTGCTGAAAGCACAGTGTAAGGCCTACACGGACCGCCTCTAACTAGCCAATCCCTGTTTACATGCCGTGTAGCAGGGGATTAGATAGAGCTAAACTAGTAAGCGGGGCATAGCCAATACACTGTACTCCCATCATTGAGTATATTACCAACCAAAAGGAAAATTTCCTTGTGTTTGGAATCTACTAAGACGAAAGTTGTGCAATGTATGTGATATGTTCGTCGACTGAGAAACAATTGTTTAGTCGCTATTTCTGGTAGCTATTTCAGTTAAATTGCCTGCTAATTCAGAAAATGTTCTGCAAAGTGATGGACAAAATCTTGTAAAATAGATGCAATAATTCAAACAATTGGGTTACATTTTGGCCTTCCGACGTTTTGAGCACGAATATTATAGCTTATTAAAGAAATTTTATGCTGCAAATATTTATAAAAATATATCAAAAAGTCGTTCATCAAGGCAATTGTTAATTTATTGAGTATTATTTAATATTTGGTACAACTTATGTTTTACTGTAGCCATACATGCTGTTTCGTCTGCAGTAATGTTTGTTTTAAAGTTATTTGTTCGTTTAATTGACGTGCCGTCTATCTGGTGTCAGAGACACGGAACGCGTATTGGATTACGTCTCGCTAGGACCAAGGACTCCATCTCGTACTGCAGTACGTGCCGTCTGACCCATTCTGTGCTGTTTCTATATATTAATATATAATATACAATACATTTATATATATGCGCATGCTATAATATAGTATAGTATAGTAAAATAATATGTTTACAGTACTACACAACAATGTAGATGTACTGAAAGGGTAGTAAGATTCCTGATCTTTTGGCAGGGCTCCTCATTTAACCCTAATTATATCAAGGTTTTCTGATCATTTGGCTCAGTCAACCGAGAAACATTCGACACAGATGTGTAGATTGCACAGATCCAAATATCTGGACCTAGACTAGGTGACATTGGGATTCGAACCTTACACCTTCTGCTCAGAAGGCTGAAGCTCTAACCACTCGGCCTCCTAGCCCCTAGATAATATATGACTACTATTTTACCCATTCTTTACTGGATGACTTTGTTCTAAGTTGGGTAAATGTTTTCAGGACAGTTATGCTGATTTGATCCTGGACACGGACCCAGAGTGCGTGCATGAATTGCTCCACGACATGGTCGTTGCTATCCAATCATTGTGGGGCGACTCCGGGGTTCAACTTTGTTACGACAGGAGGCGGGAATTTCAACTTGCGGATTCCTGTAAATAGTAAGTGAGATTGTTAGAGACGCCACCTGACACAAATCAACCAATCAGAGCACAGTATCCACCCCACTTGACACAAACTAACCAATAAGAGCACAGTATTCTATCAACGTGACATTTTTCAGAGCTGTGTATATTTGTTTTAAATGGAATCGCATTCCAATTCCATTAAATTGACCCAATTGAATTTTCTTTTATTCTGAAACTGGAGTCTATAAAATAGGTCTAATATGTATATTACAAAGCTTTTTAACGAGGGGCATTACTTTACCACTTACTTTACCACTTTATTACACTCTACTAGAAAGTCGTGGCAGTGGGCACAGGGAGGAAGCTAATAGTATTCTCTGATAGCCAGTTTTTATCGCATAAGAAACTGTAAATCACAGCTGAAGATCCAGCCCATTCAAATTTAACTCTCACTGAACACTACGTAATAACTACAAAATCGATCATATTGTCCATCCAAAATCTTTGTACGTGCGCAAATTAGAAAGTTGCATAGTAACGCGGGTGGAAACACGAATGCATTCGTGTTTCCACCCGCATTACTATGCAACTTTCTAATTTGCACGTGGGTGGACGTTGTACAAAAACTCTCAACTTGACAATAATAAAAGATATTATGAAACTTCAAACGTGGAGTTATCGCACCCATGACCCACATCCAGAAACATAGCAGATTTATCGCATTTACATTAGTACCGCACTCTTTATACCTGAGCCAATTGCTTTTGTGTGACTTTCTCCAAAACTTAGATTTTATTTATTCGTTTATAAATTGTATTGTGTTTAAATGTCTCTGTTATTAACTCTAAATTATGAGTTATGTTATTAACTCTAAATTGTAATTACTATATTAATGAATTAACTGATCACACCCATTTCAGTTATTTAGATGATTTAGACAGAATAGAAAATCCAGATTATATCCCGACTGAGCAAGATGTTCTACGGGTAAGAGTACCAACCACCGGCATTTCAGAATATCCCTTCGACATGGACAGGGTTATATTTCGGTAAGTTTGGAAACAGTTAGTATACACTACACAGTTAGTATACACTACACAGTTAAGGCATCATGTAGCCGGTGGGCCCGACATGATACGACATATCTCGACACGTCGGGGTTTGTCAGGGTTTGTCGGCTGTGTCGGGGTTTGTCGAGCCTGGAGGCTTTTTTTTCTTTTTTTTTTCTTTTGAGTCTCCCAACAAAAAGCCGAGACGGAGTCATCAAGCTTTACGTGGAAAAACACTACACAAGAAGGCCTCATGTAGCCGGTGGCCCCGAGGCAAAACCCCTCGACAAACCCCGTCTGTCGGGGTTTGTCGAGCCTGGAGGCTACATGATGCCTCAGTTAGTATACACTACACAGTTAGTACACACTACACAGTTAGTATAAACTAGACACAGTTAGTATACACTACACAGTTAGTATACACTACACAGTTAGTACACACTACACAGTTAGTATACACTACACAGTTAGTATACTCTACACAGTTAGTATACACTACACAGTTAGTATACACTACACAGTTAGTATACACTACACAGTTAGTATACACTACACAGTTAGTATACACTACACTGTTAGTATACACTACACAGTTAGTATACACTAGACACAGTTAGTATACACTACACAGTTAGTATACACTACACAGTTAGTATACACTACACAGTTAGTATACACTACACAGTTAGTATACACTACACAGTTAGTATACACTACACAGTTAGTATACACTACACAGTTAGTATACACTACACAGTTAGTATACACTACACTGTTAGTATACACTACACAGTTAGTATACACTAGACACAGTTAGTATACACTACACAGTTAGTATACACTACACAGTTAGTATACACTACACAGTTAGTATACACTACACAGTTAGTATACACTACACAGTTAGTATACACTACACAGTTAGTATACACTACACAGTGAGTATACACTACACAGTTAGTATACACTACACAGTTAGTATACACTACACAGTTAGTATACACTACACAGTTAGTATACACTACACAGTTAGTATACACTACACAGTTAGTATACACTACACAGTTAGTAAACACTACACAGTTAGTATAGTATACACTACACAGTTAGTATACACTACACAGTTAGTATACACTACACAGTTAGTAAACACTACACAGTTAGTATACACTACACAGTTAGTATACACTACACAGTTAGTATAAACTACACAGTTAGTATACACTACACAGTTAGTATACACCACACAGTTAGTAAACACTACACAGTTAGTATACACTACACAGTTAGTATACACTACACAGTTAGTATACACGACACAGTTAGTATACACTACACAGTTAGTATACACTACACAGTTAGTACACACGACACAGTTAGTATACACTACACAGTTAGTATACACTACACAGTTAGTATACACTACACAGTTAGTATACACTACACAGTTAGTATACACTACACAGTTAGTATACACTACACAGTTAGTACACACGACACAGTTAGTATACACTACACAGTTAGTAAACACTACACAGTTAGTATACACTACACAGTTAGTAAACACTACACAGTTAGTATACACTACACAGTTAGTATACACTACACAGTTAATATATACACTAGCTACACAGTTAGTATACACTACACAGTTAGTATACACTACACAGTTAGTATACACTACACAGTTAGTATACACTACACAGTTAGTATACACTACACAGTTAGTATACACTACACAGTTAGTATACACTACACAGTTAGTATACACTACACAGTTAGTATACACTACACAGTTAGTACACACTACACAGTTAGTATACACTACACAGTTAGTATACACTACACAGTTAGTACACACTACACAGTTAGTATACACTACACAGTTAGTATACACTACACAGTTAGTATACACTACACAGTTAGTATACACTACACAGTTAGTATACACTACACAGTTAGTACACACTACACAGTTAGTATACACTACACAGTTAGTATACACTACACAGTTAGTATACACTACACAGTTAGTATACACTACACAGTTAGTACACACTACACAGTTAGTATACACTACACAGTTAGTATACACTACACAGTTAGTACACACTACACAGTTAGTATACACTACACAGTTAGTACACACTACACAGTTAGTATACACTACACAGTTAGTATACACTACACAGTTAGTATACACTACACAGTTAGTATACACTACACAGTTAGTATACACTACACAGTTAGTATACACTACACAGTTAGTATACACTACACAGTTAGTATACACTACACAGTTAGTATACACTACACAGTTAGTATACACTACACAGTTAGTATACACTACACAGTTAGTATACACTACACAGTTAGTATACACTACACAGTTAGTATACACTACACAGTTAGTATACACTACACAGTTAGTATACACTACACAGTTAGTATACACTACACAGTTAGTATACACTACACAGTTAGTACACACTACACAGTTAGTATACACTACACAGTTAGTATACACTACACAGTTAGTATACACTACACAGTTAGTATACACTACACAGTTAGTATACACTACACAGTTAGTATACACTACACAGTTAGTATACACTACACAGTTAGTATACACTACACAGTTAGTATACACTACACAGTTAGTAAACACTACACAGTTAGTATACACTACACAGTTAGTATACACTACACAGTTAGTATACACTACACAGTTAGTATACACTACACAGTTAGTATACACTACACAGTTAGTATACACTACACAGTTAGTATACACTACACAGTTAGTATACACTACACAGTTAGTATACACTACACAGTTAGTATACACTACACAGTTAGTATACACTACACAGTTAGTACACACTACACAGTTAGTATACACTACACAGTTAGTATACACTACACAGTTAGTATACACTACACAGTTAGTACACACTACACAGTTAGTATACACTACACAGTTAGTACACACTACACAGTTAGTACACACTACACAGTTAGTATACACTACACAGTTAGTATACACTACACAGTTAGTATACACTACACAGTTAGTACACACGACACAGTTAGTACACACGACACAGTTAGTATACACTACACAGTTAGTATACACTACACAGTTAGTATACACTACACAGTTAGTATACACTACACAGTTAGTATACACTACACAGCTAGTATACACTACACAGTTAGTATACACTACACAGTTAGTATACACTACACAGTTAGTATACACTACACAGCTAGTATACACTACACAGTTAGTATACACTACACAGTTAGTATACACTACACAGTTAGTATAGTATACACTACACAGTTAGTATACACTACACAGTTAGTATACACTACACAGTTAGTATACACTACACAGTTAGTATACACTACACAGTTAGTATACACTACACAGTTAGTATACACTACAAAGTTAGTATACACTACACAGTTAGTATACACTACACAGTTAGTATACACTACACAGTTAGTATACACTACACAGTTAGTATACACTACAAAGTTAGTATACACTACACAGTTAGTATACACTACACAGTTAGTATACACTACACAGTTAGTATACACTACACAGTTAGTATACACTACACAGTTAGTATACACTACACAGTTAGTATACACTACACAGTTAGTATACACTACACAGTTAGTATACACTACACAGTTAGTATACACTACACAGTTAGTAAACACTACACAGTTAGTATACACTACACATTTTTTTAAAAGGTTATGATATTTGAATTTGCATTGAGTTCATTGGGTAACAATGTTGTTTTGTGTCATATTATTTGTTAACGTACTAATTTTTTACGTAATATTTGTTACGTTTCAATGCTAAAACTAAGTGGCGCTCCTCTTCAGAATGGTGGATGTAGGAGGTCAAA